GTGACATGGTTTTAGCTGATGTTGATGGGGATGTGGTTTTAGCTGATGATGATGGGAGGTGGTTTTAGCCGATGATGATGTGATGTGGTTTTAGCTGATGATGAGAGTGACATGGTTCTAGCTGATATTGGATCGGATGTGGTTTTAGCTGATGATGAGAGTTACATGTTTTTAGCTGATGATGTGGGGGATTTGGTTTTAGATGATGGTGGTGATGTTTTTTAATTGGTCCTACACGAAAAGGCCAAGGCCCGACATGTCAAAACTTCTGCTTTTGGGGGCTAATCACTACAGGAGGCTGCAACCCTTGCCCTCCTTTTAAATATAGCTTTTTCATCTTCAAACAAAGTAGTACCCGAAGAAAAATATCTGGTCCTTTGAAATGCTTACAGCTTTGAACAACCCAAAAAAATTCTGCCCATGGTGTATAACCCGTTCATAAGTTCTTCTAAACACAACTATTATATCAATCTCTTTACCCGAAGGGCATACAAAACCATTCCATGTCATATCAGAACAAAGGCCTTTTTATAGTAGACTCTTTCCCCCGCAGGTACTGAAGATCATCTGGAGTATTATGTTCATGAGTGTGGAGACATCTTAAACCATCAGCATGAAGCTACCGGCAGACTCAACAGACGCTAAACACATTATGGAGCATGTCTTTGCACAGGTGTCGGAATTCAAGAAACTCAACCAAGTAAGATCATGAACAGGAAATTCCCTTTTTGATGAGATATGGGATCATATTGTGTGAGAGCAGTATACCATGTTGGTAGTTTTCATTTAAGATGACATATTTCTTTCTTGAAATGTTCCTGAACTTTCACTCTGCACTTATTCTTATGCCTCCGCTACAAAGTAGCCGGAGGCAGTATGTTTTCTGGTTGTCCGTCCATCCGAACGTCCCGTTCTCGTGATCGCTTTATCTCAAGAACCAATTATTGGATTACCACCAAACTTTGGTCATGTATGTATTTTGCAGAGCTAATGAAGTGATTAGATTTTGGGGTGACGAGGTCAAAGGTCACAGGGCTTATTACGTATGTATAAATAGCTTGTGATTGCGTTATCTCAAGAACCGATTAATAGATTCCCGCCAAACTTGGGTTCATCTGTACTCACTTATCTTTTTGTTTCAATTTCAATTTCATTTTGTTCATGTTTCCAACAAAACATTACGAAGCAATTATAAGCATTTAAAACAAATGTAGAAATACAATGCTTGTATATGTGTGAACACCTCATGAGATACTAAATTGAAAAGTGCAGTATGCTCAAAACACCCACGTTCACCACAGCATTTGGGAACAAGCTGTATGTTGCATGGAAATTGCAGCTTGTACCTACAGCTGATCTTTGTTATGTAATAGTATTTTTCACTGATAACATTCTTTATTACACTTCTGGGCTCCTATTCACTTTACTTTTCATGGTTTGTCTATTAGGAAAATAGTAAGATATTGAAATAAAGAGAGATGTAATATAATTTGTGTTCTCTTACTTTGTTCAGGCGACTGGAGTGCGTCTATACACAGGGAACGTTGGAGCAGATGATGTTGATGGTGTAGACATGGCTTACAGGGTAGTGGCTGATCATATTCGCACATTGACCATAGCTCTCTTGGACGGAAGCTGGCCAGATAATGTTGGAAGAGGGTGAGTCCTTTTGAATGGATTTTCTAGCCCTCATTTGATCCTATTACAGTCTAATGGTTGGCAATACCTTACATGCCATACATTAAAATTACCTAAAGTTTGGTTCTATTTAACAACACATGGGATACATAATACATGAGATGGAATTTAAAAAACCTTGTTAACACACATATTTATGCCTTAATAATAAGAATAATAATAATAATAATAATATTTTGATGTCTCTACTACAGCCTAGCCGGAGGCATTATGTTTTCTGGTTGTCCGTCTGTCCGTACGTCTGTTCTTGTGATCACGTTATCTCAAGAACCGATTAATGGATTCCCGCCAAACTTTGGGCATGTATGTATCTTGCAGAGCCGATGAAGTGATTAGATTTTGGGGTCACAAGGTCAATGGTCACATTGCTCATTATGTATGCAAAAACAGCTTGTGATCACACTATCACTAGAACCGATGGACGGATTAGCATCAAACTCTAAACTATGTATCTTGCAGAGCGGTCGGTCAAACAAAGAACTCGCGGTGCATAGCAGCCTACACTCTGTGTGCATACAATACATGACTGTGTTTGCAAGGTGTGATTGTATTATTTGCTTTCGCTATTATGAGAGAGAGAGAGAGAGAAGAAAAAGGAGGCAGTTTCAAACTTGAATAATAAATATCTTTGAGATGTGATTTTGTTCCACATACATTTGATCTTGAAACTGAGTACAAATTTGGACGTAGAAATGAAAGAAGTGATGAACTATTTTCCACCCGTTCGCACACCAGTCACCTCTGCTTGCAGAAGAACGTGTGTGCGCGTGCTTACCACGTGTACATGTACGTGTAGGCGCGATTCACATTTCATAATGAAAACAAATTTACGGATTAAAAAAGTTTGTGAAACGCCTCGATACAAACTATTTCAAGGCGGACGTGAAACGGCTAACGAGAAGCAAGCACAGTGAACACAGAATCAATGTTATTAACAAAAGTAACGAGAAATAATGATAATAAAGGTAATAATGGTGACACTATAAGTTCTTTGTATTGATAAAACAATATTTATTAAAAATGTCATCCGTTGACGGAGAACTAGAATAAGAGGGATGAATAATGATAAACAATTAATTTTGAGTGGAAAAAATGAAGAAAAACAATGAGCAAGGAAGAAGAATGTGTGAAGTAAAGATTGATAAATAATGATAGAGCAATGGAAAAAAGGAGTAATAAAAGTAATAATAAAAAACACTTATGATAGCAAGGAAAAAGAATAAGGATAATGATTAATTTTATTGTTTAAAAATAAGATTAGAAATTAAAGATAAAGGTTAGTTCTGGTAATGCGATTGCATTGTGAAAGAAAAGGTGTGGAATGGATCAGAAACAGTTGATCATGTAGCATGTAATTATTGGTGTGCACTGCAAGGTTCTGGAGTCATCAAAATCATAATAAATTTGGCCGAGTCTTGGTAAAGTAACAAGCACTGTACACAGAAAGCTATATATGGGATATATTGGATAACACACATGGTGTCGGGGCTAGTTCTACCTTGATTTCCTTGTCTTTCTTTGCTCATTACTCAGCCAGTATACATTTTCTTCCAAAATTGTTTGGCACATGTCATTTATTTGTAATCTTGAACATTCAGTGTAAGTTTCGTTTGATTCTGTGAGAATTTTTTTTTTTTTTTTTACCAGAACTGGAGTTTATCTTTAAGTTTGATTATCATAAAATAAAAGTTAATAGTATTATAATTATGCCGGACCTTCGTTATTCAAGAAGCAATTATTATTATTAAAAAAAACATTTTAAAAATAAATTTTGTTATTACATTTACTTTTACTTTTTGTTTGTTTTATATTTATATATATTTTCTTTTTGTTCAAGTTGGTATGTTGTGTCTTTTTGCGTCGGTTTGACCTGTAGTCTAATAACACACGAGTCGCTATCTGCCGAGAGCTAGGACGGGGATTGTAGTTGAGCTTTTCCAAAGGGCCGTCGGAAAATATTGATCGAAAGTCTTCAAAACTCTTAAAAGCCTCGAGTTTTCGACGATCATAAATGCATAGTCTGCCATATTCTCTACTAGATAATTGAATTCATCATAGATCCCAAAGTCAGGAATATCGTCAAACATAAGGGAGGTTTGTAACTATAGTTCACTAAATGAAAATCCTGCCCGTTGTGATTAGCCCACACACACTCACGTCTACTGAGTGACACGGGCCCCGTAGGTCAGGGGCTATGGGCAGGCTAATGTACGCCACCACGGAAGCTAATTTAACGAGTCTTTTCTCGGGTGTATACCGTGGTCAAAACTCCTCTTTTTCTAAGAAAATATTGCAGCTGCCTGAAACTCAGCTTGTTGAATGGCAAGTTGCAAGACATTTCCGGCCAAAACGGAAATTTATATATATATAAACTCAGTTTTGATAGAAAGATATGAATGAAATTTAACAGCAAGAACCGACAGTCTAATACAAGATGCACAGATTCAATATAGCGGTACGGCAAAGCTTGACCGACCTAGTTACTACAGCAACCGCGCATTACGTAATCGCCGAAACTGGCCCATTGATTAGATTTTAGGGTCATGAGGTCAAAGGTCAAAAGTCATGGGGCCTATTATGTATTTTGGTTTGTAAAATCGCTCTGTGGCGGAGGCATTATTTTCGACTGCGCGCGGTCTAAGTTCCAGGCCTATATGATAGAATCCTATGAAAAGAGAAAGAGAGAGAGAGAGAGAAAGAAAGAAAAGAGTCCTCCAACTAAAAACAAAAATAATAAATATAATGATGATGATATTAATTGTTTAAAAAAAAAAGAACAAGAAAAGAACAAAGAAAGGATCAAATGATCATGAGTCGTAGCAGTTAGTAGTCTATGAGCAAAGAATTAATTTGGGTATTGGATTCATGTCTGCAAAAGAGCATAGTGGACAGAGTGTTGGTCTTTGAAAGGATTAACCTTGGTTTAGTGCTTGTAAAGGTATTCTTTTTAATTACTCAGTCTCTCAGATAGGACTTAAAGCTGTTGATTCCTCAGAGCTTCAGAGAATAATAATATACATACTTCATTAGCTAATCGTTACATGATCCAAGCTTGAATTATTAAGGCGTATACAGCTGAATTGGCAGTGACGTGAGGGCAATTGTTCTGATATGTTCATTTGATAGTTCTGTTGTGGGAAGAGCATTGTGTAGTAAAACTACCTTACATCAAATAATAAATCTGCTTACCGTAATATTCCAAATTGTAGAAGAATCTGAGTACAAATCAAATTTTGATTTGTATGATGAAATTGCATCTACAGATGTTGCATTTTTTCCCCTTTCAATTTTTCAGAGCGTATGAAGCACTCAACGTCAAGCATGAAAATCTGTCGCTGATTCAACCCCGATTCGTGGTGCCCCTGCCTCCTCTTCAACCAGCGGTAAGTCTACATCACCACCATAATTTGAAACCAGTCATCATGTGGTTTTAGCTGATGATGAGAGCGACATGGTTTTAGGTGATGTTGATGGAGATGTGGTTTAAGCTGATGATGATGGAGGTGTTTTTAGCTGATGATGATGTGAAGGTGTTTTAGCTGATGATGAGAGTGACATGGTTTTAGCTGATGATGAGAGTGACATGGTTTTAGGCGATGTTGATGGGGATGTGTTTTAGCTGATGATGATGGATGTGTTTTAGCTGATGATGAGAGTGACATGGTTTGGTGATGATGATGGGATGTGGTTTTAGATGATGATGATGGGAGGTGGTTTTAGCTGATGATGACATGGTTTTAGGCGATGTTGATGGGGATGTGGTTTTAGCTGATGATGAGAGTGACATGGTTTTAGCTGATGATGATTGGATGTGGTTTTAGCTGATGTGAGTGACATGGTTTTAGGTGATGCTGATGGGGATGTGGTTTTAGATGATAAATCTGCTTACCGTAATATTCCAAATTGTAGAAGAATCTGAGTACAATCAAATTTTGATTTGTATGATGAAATTGCATCTACAGATGTTGCATTTTTCCCCTTTCAATTTTTCAGAGCGTATGAAGCACTCAACGTCAAGCATGAAAATCTGTCGCTGATTCAACCCCGATTCGTGGTGCCCCTGCCTCCTCTTCAACCAGCGGTAAGTCTACATCACCACCATAATTTGAAACAGTCATCATGTGGTTTTTAGCTGATGATGGAAGCGACATGGTTTTAGGTGATGTGATGGAGATGTGTTTTAAGCTGATGATGATGGAGGGTTGGTTTTAGCTGATGATGATGTGAAGTGGTTTTAGCTGATGATGAGAGTGACATGGTTTTAGAGCTGATGATGAGAGTGACATGGTTTTTAGGTGATGTTGATGAGATGCGGTTTTAGCTGATGATGATGGAGGTGTGGTTTTAGCTGGTGATGATGTGAAGGTGGTTTAGCTGATGATGAGAGTGACATGGTTTTAGCTGATGATGAGAGTGACATGGTTTTAGGTGATGTTGATGGGGAGTGGTTTTAGCTGATGATGATTGGATGTGGTTTTAGCTGATGATGAGAGTGACATGGTTTTAGGTGATGATGATGGGATGTGTGTTTAGATGATGATGATGGGAGGTGGTTTTAGCTGATGATGAGAGTGACATGGTTTTAGGCGATGTTGATGGGGATGTGGTTTTAGATGATGATGATGGGAGGTGGGTTTAGCTGATGATGAGAGTGACATGGTTTTAGCTGATGATGGGGGTGGTTTTAGCTGATGATGAGAGTGACATGGTTTCAGGTGATGTTTGATGCGGATGTGATTTTTTAGATGATGATGATGGGAGGTTGCTCTAGCTGATGATGATGTGGATGGGTTTTAGCTGATGATGAGAGTGACATGGTTTTAGCTGATGATGATGGGGATGTGTTTTAGCTGATGATGAGAGTGACATGGTTTTAGGTGATGTTGATGGGGATGTGGTTTTAGCTGATGATGATGGGATGTGGTTTTAGCTGATGATGAGAGCGAGGTGGTTTTAGCTGATGATGAGAGTGACATGGTTTTAGCTGATGTTGATGGGGATGTGGTTTTAGCTGATGATGATGGGAGGTGGTTTTAGCCGATGATGATGTAGATGTGGTTTTAGCTGATGATGAGAGTGACATGGTTCTAGCTGATATTGATCGGGATGTGGTTTTAGCTGATGATGAGAGTTACATGTTTTTAGCTGATGATGTGGGGGATTTGGTTTTAGATGATGGTGGTGATGTTTTTTAATTGTCCTACACGAAAAGGCCAAGCCCGACATGTCAAAACTTCTGCTTTTGGGGGCTAATCACTACAGGAGGCTGCAACCCTTGCCCTCCTTTTAAATATAGCTTTTTCATCTTCAAAACAAAGTAGTACCCGGAAGAAAAATATCTGGTCCTTTGAAATGCTTACAGCTTTGAACAACCCAAAACAAATTCTGCCCATGGTGTATAACCCGTTCATAAGTTCTTCTAAACACAACAATTATATCAATCTCTTTACCCGAAGGGCATACAAAACCATTCCATGTCATATCAGAACAAAGGCCTTTTTATGTAGACTCTTTCCCCCGCAGGTACTGAAGATCATCTGGAGTATTATGTTCATGAGTGTGGAGACATCTTAAACCATCAGCATGAAGCTACCGGCAGACTCAACAGACGCTAAACACATTATGGAGCATGTCTTTGCACAGGTGTCGGAATTCAAGAAACTCAACCAAGTAAGATCATGAACAGGAAAATTCCCTTTTTGATGAGATATGGGATCATATTGTGTGAGAGCAGTATACCATGTTGGTAGTTTTCATTTAAAGATGACATATTTCTTTCTTGAAATGTTCCTGAACTTTCACTCTGCACTTATTCTTATGCCTCCGCTACAAAGTAGCCGGAGGCAGTATGTTTCTGGTTGTCCGTCCATCCGAACGTCCCGTTCTCGTGATCGCTTTATCTCAAGAACCAATTTTTGGATTACCACCAAACTTTGGTCATGTATGTATTTTGCAGAGCTAATGAAGTGATTAGATTTTGGGGTGACGAGGTCAAAGGTCACAGGGCTTATTACGTATGTATAAATAGCTTGTGATTGCGTTATCTCAAGAACCGATTAATAGATTCCCGCCAAACTTGGGTTCATCTGTACTCACTTATCTTTTTGTTTCAATTTCAATTTCATTTTGTTCATGTTTCCAACAAAACATTACGAAGCAATTATAAGCATTTAAAACAAATGTAGAAATACAATGCTTGTATATGTGTGAACACCTCATGAGATACTAAATTGAAAAGTGCAGTATGCTCAAAACACCCACGTTCACCACAGCATTTGGGAACAAGCTGTATGTTGCATGGAAATTGCAGCTTGTACCTACAGCTGATCTTTGTTATGTAATAGTATTTTTCACTGATAACATTCTTTATTACACTTCTGGGCTCCTATTCACTTTACTTTTCATGGTTTGTCTATTAGGAAAATAGTAAGATATTGAAATAAAGAGAGATGTAATATAATTTGTGTTCTCTTACTTTGTTCAGGCGACTGGAGTGCGTCTATACACAGGGAACGTTGGAGCAGATGATGTTGATGGTGTAGACATGGCTTACAGGGTAGTGGCTGATCATATTCGCACATTGACCATAGCTCTCTTGGACGGAAGCTGGCCAGATAATGTTGGAAGAGGGTGAGTCCTTTTGAATGGATTTTCTAGCCCTCATTTGATCCTATTACAGTCTAATGGTTGGCAATACCTTACATGCCATACATTAAAATTACCTAAAGTTTGGTTCTATTTAACAACACATGGGATACATAATACATGAGATGGAATTTAAAAAACCTTGTTAACACACATATTTATGCCTTAATAATAAGAATAATAATAATAATAATAATATTTTGATGTCTCTACTACAGCCTAGCCGGAGGCATTATGTTTTCTGGTTGTCCGTCTGTCCGTACGTCTGTTCTTGTGATCACGTTATCTCAAGAACCGATTAATGGATTCCCGCCAAACTTTGGGCATGTATGTATCTTGCAGAGCCGATGAAGTGATTAGATTTTGGGGTCACAAGGTCAATGGTCACATTGCTCATTATGTATGCAAAAACAGCTTGTGATCACACTATCACTAGAACCGATGGACGGATTAGCATCAAACTCTAAACTATGTATCTTGCAGAGCGGTCGGTCAAACAAAGAACTCGCGGTGCATAGCAGCCTACACTCTGTGTGCATACAATACATGACTGTGTTTGCAAGGTGTGATTGTATTATTTGCTTTCGCTATTATGAGAGAGAGAGAGAGAGAAGAAAAAGGAGGCAGTTTCAAACTTGAATAATAAATATCTTTGAGATGTGATTTTGTTCCACATACATTTGATCTTGAAACTGAGTACAAATTTGGACGTAGAAATGAAAGAAGTGATGAACTATTTTCCACCCGTTCGCACACCAGTCACCTCTGCTTGCAGAAGAACGTGTGTGCGCGTGCTTACCACGTGTACATGTACGTGTAGGCGCGATTCACATTTTCATAATGAAAACAAATTTACGGATTAAAAAAAGTTTGTGAAACGCCTCGATACAAACTATTTCAAGGCGGACGTGAAACGGCTAACGAGAAGCAAGCACAGTGAACACAGAATCAATGTTATTAACAAAAGTAACGAGAAATAATGATAATAAAGGTAATAATGGTGACACTATAAGTTCTTTGTATTGATAAAACAATATTTATTAAAAATGTCATCCGTTGACGGAGAACTAGAATAAGAGGGATGAATAATGATAAACAATTAATTTTGAGTGGAAAAAATGAAGAAAAACAATGAGCAAGGAAGAAGAATGTGTGAAGTAAAGATTGATAAATAATGATAGAGCAATGGAAAAAAGGAGTAATAAAAGTAATAATAAAAAACACTTATGATAGCAAGGAAAAAGAATAAGGATAATGATTAATTTTATTGTTTAAAATAAGATTAGAAATTAAAGATAAAGGTTAGTTCTGGTAATGCGATTGCATTGTGAAAGAAAAGGTGTGGAATGGATCAGAAACAGTTGATCATGTAGCATGTAATTATTGGTGTGCACTGCAAGGTTCTGGAGTCATCAAAATCATAATAAATTTGGCCGAGTCTTGGTAAAGTAACAAGCACTGTACACAGAAAGCTATATATGGGATATATTGGATAACACACATGGTGTCGGGGCTAGTTCTACCTTGATTTCCTTGTCTTTCTTTGCTCATTACTCAGCCAGTATACATTTTCTTCCAAAATTGTTTGGCACATGTCATTTATTTGTAATCTTGAACATTCAGTGTAAGTTTCGTTTGATTCTGTGAGAATTTTTTTTTTTTTTTTTACCAGAACTGGAGTTTATCTTTAAGTTTGATTATCATAAAATAAAAGTTAATAGTATTATAATTATGCCGGACCTTCGTTATTCAAGAAGCAATTATTATATATAAAAAAAAAACATTTTAAAAATAAATTTTGTTATTACATTTACTTTTACTTTTTGTTTGTTTAATATTTATATATATTTTCTTTTTGTTCAAGTTGGTATGTTGTGTCTTTTTGCGTCGGTTTGACCTGTAGTCTAATAACACACGAGTCGCTATCTGCCGAGAGCTAGGACGGGGATTGTAGTTGAGCTTTTCCAAAGGGCCGTCGGAAAATATTGATCGAAAGTCTTCAAAACTCTTAAAAGCCTCGAGTTTTCGACGATCATAAATGCATAGTCTGCCATATTCTCTACTAGATAATTGAATTCATCATAGATCCCAAAGTCAGGAATATCGTCAAACATAAGGGAGGTTTGTAACTATAGTTCACTAAATGAAAATCCTGCCCGTTGTGATTAGCCCACACACACTCACGTCTACTGAGTGACACGGGCCCCGTAGGTCAGGGGCTATGGGCAGGCTAATGTACGCCACCACGGAAGCTAATTTAACGAGTCTTTTCTCGGGTGTATACCGTGGTCAAAACTCCTCTTTTTCTAAGAAAATATTGCAGCTGCCTGAAACTCAGCTTGTTGAATGGCAAGTTGCAAGACATTTCCGGCCAAAACGGAAATTTATATATATATAAACTCAGTTTTGATAGAAAGATATGAATGAAATTTAACAGCAAGAACCGACAGTCTAATACAAGATGCACAGATTCAATATAGCGGTACGGCAAAGCTTGACCGACCTAGTTACTACAGCAACCGCGCATTACGTAATCGCCGAAACTGGCCCATTGATTAGATTTTAGGGTCATGAGGTCAAAGGTCAAAAGTCATGGGGCCTATTATGTATTTTGGTTTGTAAAATCGCTCTGTGGCGGAGGCATTATTTTCGACTGCGCGCGGTCTAAGTTCCAGGCCTATATGATAGAATCCTATGAAAAGAGAAAGAGAGAGAGAGAGAGAAAGAGAAAAGAGTCCTCCAACTAAAAACAAAATAATAAATATAATGATAATGATATTAATTGTTTAAAAAAAAAAGAACAAGAAAAGAACAAAGAAAGGATCAAATGATCATGAGTCGTAGCAGTTAGTAGTCTATGAGCAAAGAATTAATTTGGGTATTGGATTCATGTCTGCAAAAGAGCATAGTGGACAGAGTGTTGGTCTTTGAAAGGATTAACCTTGGTTTAGTGCTTGTAAAAGGTATTCTTTTTAATTACTCAGTCTCTCAGATAGGACTTAAAGCTGTTGATTCCTCAGAGCTTCAGAGAATAATAATATACATACTTCATTAGCTAATCGTTACATGATCCAAGCTTGAATTATTAAGGCGTATACAGCTGAATTGGCAGTGACGTGAGGGCAATTGTTCTGATATGTTCATTTGATAGTTCTGTTGTGGGAAGAGCATTGTGTAGTAAAACTACCTTACATCAAATAATAAATCTGCTTACCGTAATATTCCAAATTGTAGAAGAATCTGAGTACAAATCAAATTTTGATTTGTATGATGAAATTGCATCTACAGATGTTGCATTTTTTCCCCTTTCAATTTTTCAGAGCGTATGAAGCACTCAACGTCAAGCATGAAAATCTGTCGCTGATTCAACCCCGATTCGTGGTGCCCCTGCCTCCTCTTCAACCAGCGGTAAGTCTACATCACCACCATAATTTGAAACCAGTCATCATGTGGTTTTAGCTGATGATGAGAGCGACATGGTTTTAGGTGATGTTGATGGAGATGTGGTTTAAGCTGATGATGATGGAGGTGTGGTTTTAGCTGATGATGATGTGAAGGTGGTTTTAGCTGATGATGAGAGTGACATGGTTTTAGCTGATGATGAGAGTGACATGGTTTTAGGCGATGTTGATGGGGATGTGGTTTTAGCTGATGATGATTGGATGTGGTTTTAGCTGATGATGAGAGTGACATGGTTTTAGGTGATGCTGATGGGGATGTGGTTTTAGATGATGATGATGTGAAGGTGGTTTTAGCTGATGATGAGAGTGACATGGTTTTAGCTGATGATGAGAGTGACATGGTTTTAGGTGATGTTGATGGAGATGCGGTTTTAGCTGATGATGATGGAGGTGTGGTTTTAGCTGATGATGATGTGAAGGTGGTTTTAGCTGATGATGAGAGTGACATGGTTTTAGGTGATGTTGATGGGATGTGGTTTTAGCTGATGATGATTGGATGTGGTTTTAGCTGATGATGAGAGTGACATGGTTTAGGTGATGATGATGGGGATGTGGTTTTAGATGATGATGATGTGAAGGTGGTTTTAGCTGATGATGAGAGTGACATGGTTTTAGCTGATGATGAGAGTGACATGGTTTTAGGTGATGTTGATGGAGATGCGGTTTTAGCTGATGATGATGGAGGTGTGGTTTTAGCTGATGATGATGTGAAGGTGGTTTTAGCTGATGATGAGAGTGACATGGTTTTAGCTGATGATGAGAGTGACATGGTTTTAGGTGATGTTGATGGGGATGTGGTTTTAGCTGATGATGATTGGATGTGGTTTTAGCTGATGATGAGAGTGACATGGTTTTAGGTGATGATGATGGGGATGTGGTTTTAGATGATGATGATGGGAGGTGGTTTTAGCTGATGATGAGAGTGACATGGTTTTAGGCGATGTTGATGGAATGTGGTTTTAGATGATGATGATGGGAGGTGGTTTTAGCTGATGATGAGAGTGACATGGTTTTAGCTGATGATGGGAGGTGGTTTTAGCTGATGATGAGAGTGACATGGTTTCAGGTGATGTTGATGCGGATGTGGTTTTAGATGATGATGATGGGAGGTTGCTCTAGCTGATGATGATGTGGATGGGGTTTTAGCTGATGATGAGAGTGACATGGTTTTAGCTGATGATGATGGGGATGTGGTTTTAGCTGATGATGAGAGTGACATGGTTTTAGGTGATGTTGATGGGGATGTGGTTTTAGCTGATGATGATGGGATGTGGTTTTAGCTGATGATGAGAGCGAGGTGGTTTTAGCTGATGATGAGAGTGACATGGTTTTAGCTGATGATGAGAGTGACATGGTTTTAGGTGATGATGATGGGATGTGGTTTTAGATGATGATGATGGGAGGTGGTTTTAGCTGATGATGAGAGTGACATGGTTTTAGGCGATGTTGATGGGAATGTGGTTTTAGATGATGATGATGGGAGGTGGTTTTAGCTGATGATGAGAGTGACATGGTTTTAGCTGATGATGGGAGGTGGTTTTAGCTGATGATGAGAGTGACATGGTTTCAGGTGATGTTGATGCGGATGTGGTTTTAGATGATGATGATGGGAGGTTGCTCTAGCTGATGATGATGTGGATGGGGTTTTAGCTGATGATGAGAGTGACATGGTTTTAGCTGATGATGATGGGGATGTGGTTTTAGCTGATGATGAGAGTGACATGGTTTTAGGTGATGTTGATGGGGATGTGGTTTTAGCTGATGATGATGGGATGTGGTTTTAGCTGATGATGAGAGCGAGGTGGTTTTAGCTGATGATGAGAGTGACATGGTTTTAGCTGATGTTGATGGGGATGTGGTTTTAGCTGATGATGATGGGAGGTGGTTTTAGCCGATGATGATGTAGATGTGGTTTTAGCTGATGATGAGAGTGACATGGTTCTAGCTGATATTGATCGGGATGTGGTTTTAGCTGATGATGAGAGTTACATGTTTTTAGCTGATGATGTGGGGGATTTGGTTTTAGATGATGGTGGTGATGTTTTTTAATTGGTCCTACACGAAAAGGCCAAGGCCCGACATGTCAAAACTTCTGCTTTTGGGGGCTAATCACTCCAGGAGGCTGCAACCCTTGCCCTCCTTTTAAATATAGCTTTTTCATCTTCAAAACAAAGTAGTACCCGGAAGAAAAATATCTGGTCCTTTGAAATGCTTACAGCTTTGAACAACCCAAAAAAAATTCTGCCCATGGTGTATAACCTGTTCATAAGTTCTTCTAAACACAACTATTATATCAATCTCTTTACCCGAAGGGCATACAAAACCATTCCATGTCATATCAGAACAAAGGCCTTTTTATGTAGACTCTTTCCCCCGCAGGTACTGAAGATCATCTGGAGTATTATGTTCATGAGTGTGGAGACATCTTAAACCATCAGCATGAAGCTACCGGCAGACTCAACAGACGCTAAACACATTATGGAGCATGTCTTTGCACAGGTGTCGGAATTCAAGAAACTCAACCAAGTAAGATCATGAACAGGAAAATTCCCTTTTTGATGAGATATGGGATCATATTGTGTGAGAGCAGTATACCATGTTGGTAGTTTTCATTTAAAGATGACATATTTCTTTCTTGAAATGTTCCTGAACTTTCACTCTGCACTTATTCTTATGCCTCCGCTACAAAGTAGCCGGAGGCAGTATGTTTTCTGGTTGTCCGTCCATCCGAACGTCCCGTTCTCGTGATCGCTTTATCTCAAGAACCAATTATTGGATTACCACCAAACTTTGGTCATGTATGTATTTTGCAGAGCTAATGAAGTGAATAGATTTTGGGGTGACGAGGTCAAAGGTCACAGGGCTTATTACGTATGTATAAATAGCTTGTGATTGCGTTATCTCAAGAACCGATTAATAGATTCCCGCCAAACTTGGGTTCATCTGTACTCACTTATCTTTTTGTTTCAATTTCAATTTCATTTTGTTCATGTTTCCAACAAAACATTACGAAGCAATTATAAGCATTTAAAACAAATGTAGAAATACAATGCTTGTATATGTGTGAACACCTCATGAGATACTAAATTGAAAAAAGCAGTATGCTCAAAACACCCACGTTCACCACAGCATTTGGGAACAAGCTGTATGTTGCATGGAAATTGCAGCTTGTACCTACAGCTGATCTTTGTTATGTAATAGTATTTTTCACTGATAACATTCTTTATTACACTTCTGGGCTCCTATTCACTTTACTTTTCATGGTTTGTCTATTAGGAAAATAGTAAGATATTGAAATAAAGAGAGATGTAATATAATTTGTGTTCTCTTACTTTGTTCAGGCGACTGGAGTGCGTCTATACACAGGGAACGTTGGAGCAGATGATGTTGATGGTGTAGACATGGCTTACAGGGTAGTGGCTGATCATATTCGCACATTGACCATAGCTCTCTTGGACGGAAGCTGGCCAGATAATGTTGGAAGAGGGTGAGTCCTTTTGAATGGATTTTCTAGCCCTCATTTGATCCTATTACAGTCTAATGGTTGGCAATACCTTACATGCCATACATTAAAATTACCTAAAGTTTGGTTCTATTTAACAACACATGGGATACATAATACATGAGATGGAATTTAAAAAACCTTTTTAACACACATATTTATGCCTAAATAATAAGAATAATAATAATAATAATAATATTTTGATGTCTCTGCTACAGCCTAGCCGGAGGCATTATGTTTTCTGGTTGTCCGTCTGTCCGTACGTCTGTTCTTGTGATCACGTTTTCTCAAGAACCGATTAATGGATTCCCGCCAAACTTTGGGCATGTATGTATCTTGCAGAGCCGATGAAGTGATTAGATTTTGGGGTCACGAGGTCAATGGTCACATTGCTCATTATGTATGCAAAAACAGCTTGTGATCACACTATCACTAGAACCGATGGACGGATTAGCATCAAACTCTAAACTATGTATCTTGCAGAGCGGTCGGTCAAACAAAGAACTCGCGGTGCATAGCAGCCTACACTCTGTGTGCATACAATACATGACTGTGTTTGCAAGGTGTGATTGTATTATTTGCTTTCGCTATTATGAGAGAGAGAGAGAGAGAAGAAAAAGGAGGCAGTTTCAAACTTGAATAATAAATATCTTTGAGATGTGATTTTGTTCCACATACATTTGATCTTGAAACTGAGTACAAATTTGGACGTAGAAATGAAAGAAGTGATGAACTATTTTCCACCCGTTCGCACACCAGTCACCTCTGCTTGCAGAAGAACGTGTGGGCGCGTGCTTACCACGTGTACATGTACGTGTAGGCGCGATTCACATTTTCATAATGAAAACAAATTTACGGATTAAAAAAGTTTGTGAAACGCCTCGATACAAACTATTTCAAGGCAGACGTGAAACGGCTAACGAGAAGCAAGCACAGTGAACACAGAATCAATGTTATTAACAAAAGTAACGAGAAATAATGATAATAAAGGTAATAATGGTGACACTATAAGTTCTTTGTATTGATAAAACAATATTTATTAAAAATGTCATCCGTTGACGGAGAACTAGAATAAGAGGGATGAATAATGATAAACAATTAATTTTGAGTGGAAAAAATGAAGAAAAACAATGAGCAAGGAAGAAGAATGTGTGAAGTAAAGATTGATAAATAATGATAGAGCAATGGAAAAAAGGAGTAATAAAAGTAATAATAAAAAACACTTATGATAGCAAGGAAAAAGAATAAGGATAATGATTAATTTTATTGTTTAAAATAAGATTAGAAATTAAAGATAAAGGTTAGTTCTGGTAATGCGATTGCATTGTGAAAGAAAAGGTGTGGAATGGATCAGAAACAGTTGATCATGTAGCATGTAATTATTGGTGTGCACTGCAAGGTTCTGGAGTCATCAAAATCATAATAAATTTGGCCGAGTCTTGGTAAAGTAACAAGCACTGTACACAGAAAGCTATATATGGGATATATTGGATAACACACATGGTGTCGGGGCTAGTTCTACCTTGATTTCCTTGTCTTTCTTTGCTCATTACTCAGCCAGTATACATTTTCTTCCAAAATTGTTTGGCACATGTCATTTATTTGTAATCTTGAACATTCAGTGTAAGTTTCGTTTGATTCTGTGAGAATTTTTTTTTTTTTTTTTACCAGAACTGGAGTTTATCTTTAAGTTTGATTATCATAAAATAAAAGTTAATAGTATTATAATTATGCCGGACCTTCGTTATTCAAGAAGCAATTATTATTATTAAAAAAAACATTTTAAAAATAAATTTTGTTATTACATTTACTTTTACTTTTTGTTTGTTTAATATTTATATATATTTTCTTTTTGTTCAAGTTGGTATGTTGTGTCTTTTTGCGTCGGTTTGACCTGTAGTCTAATAACACACGAGTCGCTATCTGCCGAGAGCTAGGACGGGGATTGTAGTTGAGCTTTTCCAAAGGGCCGTCGGAAAATATTGATCGAAAGTCTTCAAAACTCTTAAAAGCCTCGAGTTTTCGACGATCATAAATGCATAGTCTGCCATATTCTCTACTAGATAATTGAATTCATCATAGATCCCAAAGTCAGGAATATCGTCAAACATAAGGGAGGTTTGTAACTATAGTTCACTAAATGAAAATCCTGCCCGTTGTGATTAGCCCACACACACTCACGTCTACTGAGTGACACGGGCCCCGTAGGTCAGGGGCTATGGGCAGGCTAATGTACGCCACCACGGAAGCTAATTTAACGAGTCTTTTCTCGGGTGTATACCGTGGTCAAAACTCCTCTTTTTCTAAGAAAATATTGCAGCTGCCTGAAACTCAGCTTGTTGAATGGCAAGTTGCAAGACATTTCCGGCCAAAACGGAAATTTATATATATATAAACTCAGTTTTGATAGAAAGATATGAATGAAATTTAACAGCAAGAACCGACAGTCTAATACAAGATGCACAGATTCAATATAGCGGTACGGCAAAGCTTGACCGACCGAGTTACTACAGCAACCGCGCATTACGTAATCGCCGAAACTGGCCCATTGATTAGATTTTAGGGTCATGAGGTCAAAGGTCAAAAGTCATGGGGCCTATTATGTATTTTGGTTTGTAAAATCGCTCTGTGGCGGAGGCATTATTTTCGACTGCGCGCGGTCTAAGTTCCAGGCCTATATGATAGAATCCTATGAAAAGAGAAAGAGAGAGAGAGAGAGAGAAAGAAAGAAAAGAGTCCTCCAACTAAAAACAAAATAATAAATATAATGATGATGATATTAATTGTTTAAAAAAAAAAGAACAAGAAAAGAACAAAGAAAGGATCAAATGATCATGAGTCGTAGCAGTTAGTAGTCTATGAGCAAAGAATTAATTTGGGTATTGGATTCATGTCTGCAAAAGAGCATAGTGGACAGAGTGTTGGTCTTTGAAAGGATTAACCTTGGTTTAGTGCTTGTATAAGGTATTCTTTTTAATTACTCAGTCTCTCAGATAGGACTTAAAGCTGTTGATTCCTCAGAGCTTCAGAGAATAAAAATATACATACTTCATTAGCTAATCGTTACATGATCCAAGCTTGAATTATTAAGGCGTATACAGCTGAATTGGCAGTGACGTGAGGGCAATTGTTCTGATATGTTCATTTGATAGTTCTGTTGTGGGAAGAGCATTGTGTAGTAAAACTACCTTACATCAAATAATAAATCTGCTTACCGTAATATTCCAAATTGTAGAAGAATCTGAGTACAAATCAAATTTTGATTTGTATGATGAAATTGCATCTACAGATGTTGCATTTTTTCCCCTTTCAATTTTTCAGAGCGTATGAAGCACTCACCTTCAAGCATGAAAATCTGTCGCTGATTCAACCCCGATTCGTGGTGCCCCTGCCTCCTCTTCAACCAGCGGTAAGTCTACATCACCACCATAATTTGAAACCAGTCATGTGGTTTTAGCTGATGATGAGAGCGACATGGTTTTAGGTGATGTTGATGGAGATGTGGTTTTAGCTGATGATGATGGGATGTGGTTTTAGCTGATGATGAGAGCGAGGTGGTTTTGGCTGATGATGAGAGCGACATGGTTTTAGGTGATGTTGATGGAGATGTGGTTTTAGCTGATGATGATGTGAAGGTGGTTTTAGCTGATGATGAGAGTGACATGGTTTTAGGCGATGTTGATGGGGATGTGGTTTTAGCTGATGATGATTGGATGTGGTTTTAGCTGATGATGAGAGTGACATGGTTTTAGGTGATGCTGATGGGGATGTGGTTTTAGATGATGATGTGAAGGTGGTTTTAGCGGATGATGAGAGTGACATGGTTTTAGCTGATGATGAGAGTGACATGGTTTTAGGTGATGTTGATGGAGATGCGGTTTTAGCTGATGATGATGGAGGTGTGGTTTTAGCTGATGATGATGTGAAGGTGGTTTTAGCTGATGATGAGAGTGACATGGTTTTAGCTGATGATGAGAGTGACATGGTTTTAGGTGATGTTGATGGGGATGTGGTTTTAGCTGATGATGATTGGATGTGGTTTTAGCTGATGATGAGAGTGACATGGTTTTAGGTGATGATGATGGGGATGTGGTTTTAGATGATGATGATGGGAGGTGGTTTTAGCTGATGATGAGAGTGACATGGTTTTAGGCGATGTTGATGGGGATGTGGTTTTAGATGATGATGATGGGAGGTGGTTTTAGCTGATGATGAGAGTGACATGGTTTTAGCTGATGATGGGAGGTGGTTTTAGCTGATGATGAGAGTGACATGGTTTCAGGTGATGTTGATGCGGATGTGGTTTTAGATGATGATGATGGGAGGTTGCTCTAGCTGATGATGATGTGGATGGGGTTTTAGCTGATGATGAGAGTGACATGGTTTTAGCTGATGATGATGGGGATGTGGTTTTAGCTGATGATGAGAGTGACATGGTTTTAGGTGATGTTGATGGGGATGTGGTTTTAGCTGATGATGATGGGATGTGGTTTTAGCTGATGATGAGAGCGAGGTGGTTTTAGCTGATGATGAGAGTGACATGGTTTTAGCTGATGTTGATGGGGATGTGGTTTTAGCTGATGATGATGGGAGGTGGTTTTAGCCGATGATGATGTAGATGTGGTTTTAGCTGATGATGAGAGTGACATGGTTCTAGCTGATATTGATCGGGATGTGGTTTTAGCTGATGATGAGAGTTACATGTTTTTAGCTGATGATGTGGGGGATTTGGTTTTAGATGATGGTGGTGATGTTTTTTAATTGGTCCTACACGAAAAGGCCAAGGCCCGACATGTCAAAACTTCTGCTTTTGGGGGCTAATCACTCCAGGAGGCTGCAACCCTTGCCCTCCTTTTAAATATAGCTTTTTCATCTTCAAAACAAAGTAGTACCCGGAAGAAAAATATCTGGTCCTTTGAAATGCTTACAGCTTTGAACAACCCAAAAAAAATTCTGCCCATGGTGTATAACCTGTTCATAAGTTCTTCTAAACACAACTATTATATCAATCTCTTTACCCGAAGGGCATACAAAACCATTCCATGTCATATCAGAACAAAGGCCTTTTTATGTAGACTCTTTCCCCCGCAGGTACTGAAGATCATCTGGAGTATTATGTTCATGAGTGTGGAGACATCTTAAACCATCAGCATGAAGCTACCGGCAGACTCAACAGACGCTAAACACATTATGGAGCATGTCTTTGCACAGGTGTCGGAATTCAAGAAACTCAACCAAGTAAGATCATGAACAGGAAAATTCCCTTTTTGATGAGATATGGGATCATATTGTGTGAGAGCAGTATACCATGTTGGTAGTTTTCATTTAAAGATGACATATTTCTTTCTTGAAATGTTCCTGAACTTTCACTCTGCACTTATTCTTATGCCTCCGCTACAAAGTAGCCGGAGGCAGTATGTTTTCTGGTTGTCCGTCCATCCGAACGTCCCGTTCTCGTGATCGCTTTATCTCAAGAACCAATTATTGGATTACCACCAAACTTTGGTCATGTATGTATTTTGCAGAGCTAATGAAGTGAATAGATTTTGGGGTGACGAGGTCAAAGGTCACAGGGCTTATTACGTATGTATAAATAGCTTGTGATTGCGTTATCTCAAGAACCGATTAATAGATTCCCGCCAAACTTGGGTTCATCTGTACTCACTTATCTTTTTGTTTCAATTTCAATTTCATTTTGTTCATGTTTCCAACAAAACATTACGAAGCAATTATAAGCATTTAAAACAAATGTAGAAATACAATGCTTGTATATGTGTGAACACCTCATGAGATACTAAATTGAAAAGTGCAGTATGCTCAAAACACCCACGTTCACCACAGCATTTGGGAACAAGCTGTATGTTGCATGGAAATTGCAGCTTGTACCTACAGCTGATCTTTGTTATGTAATAGTATTTTTCACTGATAACATTCTTTATTACACTTCTGGGCTCCTATTCACTTTACTTTTCATGGTTTGTCTATAGGAAAATAGTAAGATATTGAAATAAAGAGAGATGTAATATAATTTGTGTTCTCTTACTTTGTTCAGGCGACTGGAGTGCGTCTATACACAGGGAACGTTGGAGCAGATGATGTTGATGGTGTAGACATGGCTTACAGGGTAGTGGCTGATCATATTCGCACATTGACCATAGCTCTCTAGGACGGAAGCTGGCCAGATAAAGTTGGAAGAGGGTGAGTCCTTTTGAATGGATTTTCTAGCCCTCATTTGATCCTATTACAGTCTAATGGTTGGCAATACCTTACATGCCATACATTAAAATTACCTAAAGTTTGGTTCTATTTAACAATACATGGGATACACAATACATAAGATGGAATTTAAAAAACCTTTTTAACACACATATTTATGCCTTAATAATAATAATAATAATAATAATAATATTTTGATGTCTCTGCTACAGCCTAGCCGGAGGCGTTATGTTTTCTGGTTGTCTGTCTGTCCGTACGTCTGTTCTTGTGATCACGTTATCTCAAGAACCGATGAATGGATTCCCGCCAAACTTTGGGCATGTATGTATCTTGCAGAGCCGATGAAGTGATTAGATTTTGGGGTCACGAGGTCAAAGGTCACATTGTTCATTATGTATGCAAAAACAGCTTGTGATCACACTATCACTAGAACCGATGGACGGATTAGCATCAAACTCTAAACATGTATGTATCTTGCAGAGCCTAAGAAAAGGCCAGTTTCGTAATGTATTCACAGACCTTTAAATCGGAGGGTCGGTCAAACAAAGAATTCGCGGTGCATAGCAGCCTACACTCTGTGTGTAGGCGCGATTCACATTTTCATAATGAAAAAACAAATTTACGGATTAAAAAAAGTTTGTGAAACGCCTCGATACAAACTATTTCCAGGCGGATGAGAAATGGCTAACGAGAAGCAAGCACAGTGAACACAGAATCAATGTTATTAACAAAAGTAACGAGAAATAATGATAATAAAGGTAATAATGGTGACACTATAAGTTCTTTGTATTGATAAAACACATTTTCATAATGAGAACAAATTTACGGATTAAAAAATGTTGGTGAAACACCTCGATACAAACTATTTCAAGGCGGACGAGAAACGGCTAACGAGAAGCAAGCACAGTGAACACAGAATCAATGTTATTAACAAAAGTAACAAGAAATAATGATAATAAAGGTAATAATGGTGACACTATAAGTTCTTTGTATTGATAAAACAATATTTATTAAAAATGTCATCCGTTGTCAGAGAACTAGAATAAGAAGGATGAATAATGATAAACAATTAATTTTGAGCGGAAAAAATGAAGAAAAACAATGAGCAAGGAAGAAGAATGTGTGAAGTAAAGATTGATAAATAATGATAGAGCAATGGAAAAAAGGAGTAATAAAAGTAATAATAAAAAACACTTATGAAAGCAAGGAAAAAGAATAAGGATGATGAATAATTTTATTGTTTAACCCTAACCCTAATAAGATTCATAGAATCAGTCTTTTTTTTTATAATTGCTTCTAATTTAGTTATCCTTGGTCGATTTCCTTCGGGTTTTTTAAGGTGGACTCTTAGATAGTTGGGCTTTCATCTAACATGAGTATTGCGGCGGAATAACCTTGAACTTTAAAGGTGCCTCGGTGTAATTTTTGGGTCGCCGGTGTATGTCCTATACACTGTTTTGGAAAATGTCATTAGCTCACTCAATTCTTCATCGATTTTGTTCATTTTTTTTTTTAAATGAAAGCTATTGAGTTGCTTAATCTTCACAGATCTGCTTATGGAAAAGTGTTGAAAATGGTACTTTAGTCAAATTTACTTACCCTTTGGTACCTTTGCTGGTTCATAGGGTTCAATACCCCTATTAAACTCAAGGATTTTGCTAGATAGCGGTTGGGGCCACTAACTCCGAGGCCCTGATGGTTTTTTTCTTTAAACTAGCACTTTAAAAAATGATTTATTCATTTCTCCAAAGAATGAAGTAAAACTGAGACTAACAATTGACTAGATGAATTTTTGTTTGAGGTGATGAAAAGGTCGGACTAATCGAGGCCCTTATAAATTTAAATAAAATATGCACTGCTTAGTGCATCTTATCATGAGCATATCCTGAAAAAATTAGCAAAATTGGTTAATTATTTAATTAATTACAAGCAATTTCAAAAAAAAAGTTTAGGACCCTATTTCTCGAAATACTTGGGGGCCGCTTTAATTTTAACATTTAAACCCTATTTAACATTAAATATTCATTCGTTTCTTTGTTTTTAATCATAAAACCAAAATATTAGCAAACAAAAATATCCCCCGAAATACGAAAAATCTAGTATTCACCATAGGTTTGTACAGTGTAGGCCAAAAAATAGGTGCTCTACAAAAGTTCTTTAAAAAAACATTTTTACATTGAAGCCACAAAATATACCATACTCAAATTGATCTTTGATAATCCAGGCCTACTTTCCTGCAATTGGTTTTTTATTAATTGTTATGCTTTTTCCTTAAAAAGTGATACAAAAATTAATTTTTCCCATCAATTCCCGCCATTGGTACTTTTCTCACGTAGAGGTAGCTTCACACAATAACAAACGAATCAACGTAACAGTAGAAACTAAACAAACAAAAGTAGATTCATTCCAGCGGGCAGTCAGCTCTTATTATTCATTTAAATGGTGAGTTTTGAAATGTATTGTGCCCTATATTTATCTGACTGTCCATTTATACTAATTTAGACTTTGATCAATCCACTTTCTCTCGATAGGTCATGAAATTGTACACAACTTTGTGAGATATGCAACTTTGCGTGAACAACAAGCACTCCCCCCTAAACATAGGTAGGCTGTCCGCCGAAACTCCAGGCCTGGCATTAGGCCTCTGCCTGGTATGACTCTGACTGTGAAGCAGATAGATCTTATATCAATTAGTCTACTTGTTAGATGCCAAAAAGAATAATTGCAATAAGCCATAAGGTAAGTAGGACTACAATTTATTGTGTTATTGTGCTAATACTGAATGCCCATGATATCGCAGCTTCGGACGTCGGTACGTACAGTATCGGCATGTTCAAGATTCACCCCCTTATGGCTGTTGTTCTAGGCTTATTTTTTGTATTTCTCATTTCTTGGCATTGATACTGCACATACAGAATGCAAAGACATGCACGATAATAAAGAGAGCAATTATTGTGCAAATACTGAATCTCCATGATATTGCAGCGTCGGTACAGCACCAGCATGTTTAAGATTCACCCCCCTTATGTTTTGTATTTCTCATTTGTTGGCATTGTCACTTCACATATCAAATGCAAAGACATGTACGATAATAAAGATAGCTTTCCTGACCTAGTATTTGCAAGGAAAAATTCAAAAAAGGCATATGAAGGCTACGTTAATGCGCGAATACAGAATGTTCATGTTCAGCATCCGTATAGCATCGACATGTTGAAGATCCAGCCCCCCCTTATTTTTTGTATGTCGCATTTGTTGGCATTGACATTTACACATGAAATGTAAAGACATAAAACAGCCGTCCTGACCTAGCATATACAAGGAAAAATTCAAAAAAGGTCTCTGATTGCTGCGTTATGGTGCATAAAAGTTGTCAGCGTCACTAAACATAGGACATTTTCTAATCCCCCCCCCCTCTTCCCCCTTATTGTGCTCCAATTCTTTGTTCTACCCAATTTGATGTTTCTAGTGGTCAATTCATTAGAAATGAGTGGAGCCTAAGCCTACTACTTAGGCCAAAGCTAAGTAGGCCTAGCAGAAACTCACGCCGTTCCGATTGAGTACATATAACGGAGTGACACCTGAAATCAGAGTAATCACGTGATCGGAATATTTTACCTCGCCACCAAAATCCCAGGTGGACCTAGCAGTCCCACATTACTTTGCGGTGCCTTAGGCATGATCGATGCAAACTTATTCACAACCTTTTAACCCACTAAATCGGAGCAGTGTATTTATCCGGATAATACGCGTAGATAGACACTGCCCATTCCCTGGTACTATATGCTATTTTCCGGAAAACAAATGAACCGGATAATTTCAGTAAAACTAATAGAAACATGCTGTTTGTGTTCCTTCTTTCTATCACAATCTCTTTCTTTCATCGTGTCTTCATTTCCTTCTCAATTGTCATTGTCCCTTATATTACATTCTCTATCTCAAATGTCACTTTTCCTCATATTGTTTTCCTCAGAAAATTCATGCAAAGGACCTGGAAAATCTGCAGAAATAAACCCTAGGACTACTTTGACCAACGGAGGTTGGTGGTTTGGCAGTTGAAGGCTTAAGAAACTTGCTGACCATCCTGGGTACAACCCCAACAGTCAATGCCTCTAGCTACGACAGGCACATAGCCACTTTTAAATCGATATCTCAAGAGGTTAGCCACCAGCCTGGTTCAACATACTTTTGTCCACGGTGTTTTGTCTTCTTCGTTAAATGTCTTTATTGGGGTACCTCAGGAGATCAATACTGGGTCCCCTGCTATTTCTTTTATACATAAATGATCTTTGTAAATCATCTAACTTATTAACCTTCTATCAATTTGCTGATGACACTAGTATATTTTTTTCATCTAAAGATTTGAATAATACTGTCCGCGTTCTAAATAATGAGCTTAAGAATATATCTGACTGGTTAAAAGCAAATAAATTGTCCCTGAATGTTGACAAAACTAAATGTGTTTATTTTCGAAAAACTAAATATAATATAGGATCTAAAATTTCCAAAATTTCCGATATAGCTAGCAATAACGGTCCTTTAATTAATAACGATAATATTCCCATTTATATTAATAATAAACTTATTCAATTAAGTAATTCCGTTAACTTCTTGGGTGTCGTATTAGATAATTGCTTGGGATTTAAAGACCATATCACAAATGTTTTACATAAGATCAGCAGAAATGCTGGCTTGATAAATAAGCTAAAATATAGTTTGTTACCCGAAAATTTGATAACTTTATATCATTCCATTATTTTTCCTTATTTGAAATATTGTAATATTGTATGGGCCACTAATGCAACACAAACTGAATTAGACTCACTATTTAAAGTTCAAAAGAAATGTTTAAGAATAGCTACCAATTCTCATTATCTAGCACCTTCCGCACCTTTGTTTAAGAAGCTATCGTTATTAAATATATATGATATAAATAAGCAAGAAATCGCAACATTCATGTACAAATATAAAAACAAGTTATTACCTGCCCCCTTTTCAGACCTCTTTCAATATAATAGTCAAATTCATAATTATAATACACGGCTTTCCAACAAATTTCATTTATGGTCTGTTAAGTCTAGTTATGAAGCTAAATCAATGAGTTATCTAGGTCCTAAACAGTGGAATATGATTCCCCAAGTAATAACGAAATCACAATTCATATCTTCCTTTAGAAAACAATATAAAATCTTACTACTAAATAATTATTAATCAGCACAGTTGTTGATTTTTTTTTCATCTAATTTTATATCTGAACCCTCTTTCATTGTTATCTTGTTTTCCTTTCCTTTCTTTTCCCCCTTTATATATTGTTTTTCTTCTCTCTATTTTACTTTCTCTTGTTATATAGGTAGTTGAAGTGTTTGTACTTTGCTTATTTTACTTAATTTATTGTTATGTGCTTATAATATGTTATACATGTATTTCTTTTTGTATTGTTCTTCATTCTTTAAAGGGCGATCCAACTTCACAGGTTCTCGCAACCTTCATGGAAAGCCCCGCATATAACCTTTGTAAACATAGTTAAAATTTACTGTTACTTTGTATATTTTGATTTTTATATTGCGAAATAAAATTGAATTGAATTGAATTGAATTGAATTGGTATTTTATTCATTACATTTTTGTTTTTTTCCCAAATTTACTCTAAAATAGTATGCTTAAGTTGTGGTCAATAGACAGTAAAGAACATGTTCATCAATTTCTCTTGTCATAATGGTTGAAATGCCTGAGTGAACTTTAAATGAACTTGTATTTATTACATAATCTTGTTCTTTTGTAACTTTGCAGACCAGCGAGGAACACATGAAGAGGGCGGCGGTATGCCTACAACAAAGGGCAATGGACAAGGACCCGACCATCAGGAAAAATGACCGTGTGGACATCACTTCTACTACCAACCTATCCATTCTTCTTTACTACTTCTACTACCTCCACTACCACCCTATCCGTTCTCCCTTGCTCCCCTCCCTCTTTCATTCTCGCCAGATCTGGCAATCATTAAATATCTTAATATTTCTTACCCCTCCCTCATCTGTCTTTCTTTTCTCCCTCCTGAATGGACAATGCTCTTCCTTACTTTTATTACTACCTCTGCTACCACCTTACTCTACAACCTTACCTCTGCTCTTCCTTACTACTTCTACTTCCACTTTCCCTCATCATGTTCCCTCTTTCTATAACCATCTCCACGTTCTCTGTCTTTATTATCACCCCCCCCCCCTTTTTTTATTGCATTCTCTATCTCAACTGCCACTTTCCATCATATTGGTTTCACTCACTATCTCAATTTCAACTTTCCCTGTGTTTTTGTTCTCTCTCTCTCTCTCTCTCAAGTGCATTTCATCTCATATTTCATACTACCCTACCTGCTCTTCCTTACTACTTCTACTTCCACTTCCACTTTCCCTCATCATGTTCCCTCTTTCTATCTCCATCTCCATTTATCTCATATTTCATACTGTGAAATTGAAATTAAGGACTGGAAATACAAGCAATGATGTGAAACGTTCGTTACGGTGTAAGAAAATTACATTTAATCTTTTGCATGCCTAAAGTGCGAATTCTTTTAAATATATATGACACAAACTGCTATTATTAATGAACTTTAATATATAGCTTCATGTTTGCTGTAAACTCTTTTTTATTTTACTTGGGTGGGTTCGAGTCCCGCGAAGCTGTTTATAACACGAGAGCTTTCATGGTGCCAGTACAATATAATTGGGTTATATACACATCCCCTTATACAATATACACACACACACTTGTTAGCCTCATCGGGTATAGGGCTAATACTTATGCACTGTAATTTAAAATTATACATTTTTTAAAGCTTCCAATAGAAGTACAGATTTCCTCATAGTTTCAGGTAAATCGTTCCAAAGCTTAGGACCGGTAAAACAGGTATTCTTTTGAAAAATATGTTTATAGTGTACAGGAATATATATTTAATATAATACACATAAGGAAAATCGAGCATATGACAGTGCGGCATGTCACTAATTGAAATACAGCCCATGTTATGCATATAACTGTTCAATGAAACAATACAAAAGTTCAAAAATGCCATAACTCAATCATTTTTACGTCCAATGTAGATAATTATGATTTTTTGATTTGACTCGACTCATATTTAGTTTGGACATAATACAACACTATCTCCTATGTCCTGCTCAAAGTGTTTTATTAATGACAATTGAAGGTTTTTATTGATACAATTGTACCTTCATATTCATAAAAAGCATATCATAATCATCATGTAAAAAGTAAAAGAACAAGAATAGAAAGAAGAATCACAAAAACTACTTTTACAAAACATTCAGACTTACTGACAAGTGTGCACTGCCATTTCTTAAACATTTCATTAGAATATCAATAGCTGGATAGAAAAAGGTGACATGCCTTGCATAGGCGTTGTGAGGGATATTACATTAAGAAAGCAACTGAGAAAAAAGAAAGATGAATGAAATAGTTGATGATCTACATAGACGTAGATTTTGTTTTAGCTTATATTGCATTGCGAACTCTGTCCCTCACTTGGAGAAATGATCGGTTAGAGAGGCAACGTGCTACTTTTTTTATTTTGTTTAACTATGTCCCTCACCACGCCTATGCGAGGCATGTCACCCCTTTCTATCCAGCTCTGGAAAAGCTTCTGGACTGCCTCCTTCTCTTCCTGGGTGAACTTTACCCTCGCCGTTTGATGGCTGGTACTTGAGAACTATCATGGAGAAAGAGAGGAGAGGGGGATGAAAGACATCAAGAAATGAATTGTGAAACAATTTGACCCATAATAACAGAGTTGCACATATAAAAAATAACACCAATAAGCAAGTATTTCAGACAATTCAGCAAATTGTTGTATAGATGTCTAACACTATTCCATCACAGTTTTAAAATGACATTGATGAAATTCTGAACAAGTCTGACATTACCCGTCAAAGAAAGGAGCTAAAAGGGCTGCGATTGCCATTTAAATGCGTTACATACCAGGGATGATGATCCAGCTGACACACTAACGGATGGGGTGTCTGATAGTGGCGTGACTGGGTGCTCCTTATGTTGGGGATGTTTGTTGCACTTCACCCTCGCTGGTGGATCGCTGGTACTTGGCAACTATCATGGAGAAAGAGAGGGGAGGGGGATGAAAAACATCAAGAAATGAATTGTGAAACAATTTGACCCATAATAACAGAGTTGCACATTTAAAAAATAACACCAATAAGCAAGTATTTCAGACAATTCAGCAAATTATTGTATAGATGTCTAACACTATTCCATCACAGTTTTAAAATGACAATGATGAAATTTTGAACAAGTCTGACATTACCCGTCAAAGAAAGGAGCTAAAAGGGCTGCAATTGCCATTTAAATGCGTTACATACCAGGGATGATGATCCAGCTGACACACTAATGGATGATGTGTCTGGTAGTAGCGGGATTGGATGCTCATTATGTTGGGGTTGTTTTTTGCACTTCACCCTCAGTTTTTTGGTGCTGGTGGTCGAGCACTATTATGGAGAAAGAGAAGGGGGGGGGGTGAAATAAATAAAGAAAAGAATTGTGAATTGCACATTTTAAAAAAAGCATTAATAAGCAAATATTTCAAACAATTCAGCAAATTATTGTATAGATGTCTAACCCTATTCCATCACAATTTTGAAATGTCATTAATGAATCTTTAACCAAGTCTGAAAATACCGTCAAGGAAAGCAACTAAAAGGTCTGCAATTGTCATTCAAATGTGTTTCATAGAATAGAATAGAATTTATTGACTCATTCGACCCCCTTCTGGGGTATGAGAGTACAACACATGTACATGTCATGATAATGATACATAATAAAGAATACAAACATAGTTTAATAATACAAAGAATACAGAATACAACAAAACAACAATATAAAAGTATAACGATAAATAGGAATGATCTAAACCTAGCCTATGCTAAACATAAATACAATATTATACAATATGGCAAGCATACCAGGGATGAAGATCCTGTGGACCCACAAACCGATGGTGGGCGTGGCAGTTGCAGGACTGGGTGCTCCTTATTTCTTGTAGCAGAGCGTAGTTTTCTGCCTGACTGCATCTGTAATGCGAAAATGAGGCAAAGAAACCCTGCTATTAAAAGGTATGTCATTTTGTGTTTATAATCTATTTAACCTTATTTGAATAAACATGTGGATGTTGACATGTATCAAAGATAATATCAAATGAGAGATATGGAAGCGGAAGTTTGGACAGCAAATAAATTGCGATATAGAGACATGTATCAAATGTATTCAGAGTTACTTATTTTTCATGCTGAATTAATTTTGACGGGAAACAATAACAATTGTTGGGGGAAGGAGAAAGCTAATTATTTCGACTGTCTGATTTAATTGTATGATTGCGACTCTAGTCCACTGCAGCAGGCAAAGGGTTGGCAATATAGTCAAGAAAATATGATAATTGCATAACATAGCGTTTACCATCTTACATGGAGCAGGGAGTTCCAATGGACTGGATGGAGGAGCAGCTGGGAATTCCAAGGGACTGGATGGACGAGCAGCTGGACGTTCCAAGAGACTGGATGGAGGAGCAGCTGGACGTTCCAAGGGACTGGATGGAGGAGCAGCTGGGAGTTCCAAGGGATTGGATGGAGGAGCAGCTGGGAGTTCCAATGGACTGGATGGAGGAGCAGCTGGGAGTTCCAAGGGATTGGATGGAGGAGCAGCTGGGAGTTCCAAGGGACTGGACGCAATGTTCCCGGAACCACCGGTAGGTGGCGCACCACACGACTAGGGCTTTAACGGAACACTCTCAATTACTTTCGTAGTAAAATACCAGGTAATGACCTAAAATGCCCCAGATATGTATGTTGTAGCCAACATTTTGACATTGTATCGCATGGAACGCCTTAGAATGGTTTCAAGAGGGTTAAAACGCTGAAAAACATACGAAACAGTATATATCTGAGCCAAAAAGTGAATTTTATTATTTTATTTAGTAGACCTGTGACGTCACACAGAACGTCATCTTCGGCATCATAGGTCTTGGAAGCAACGTCTTCGGAAGCATTCGGATGCTCGGAAATGTCACCCAAACAAAGTTGAAAGTTCAAGATGATCATGAGGCAAATGGCATCAATGATGGGTAAGTGAAAATGTGATTTTTTTTCTTCAAATTGATACAAAATTTGAGCGATTTTGAGCGAGTAACTTTTTAACTGTTTAGATTTTACACTACTCGAATCATTATTCGCTACGCAAAAGTGTAAATGTAGAAATCGCGTGAACTTGACCAGATTATTTAGCATGTTGGCGCTTAAAATTAAAATGCCATGCACATGGTCATGGGAAAGTGTACCCACGTAGATCTAGTCCCTGCACATGTTATGATTCTTATTTCGCGGCGCTGAAAATCGACCTGTATTGCCGGACACCGTGTTATGTCTATGGCGAAACGCAAAAGTCGCGAGTCGCGCGAGAAGAAAATGCACGGAAAACAAATAGCAAAATGACATTCTCAAAACAAACTTGACAGCCATTCACTTTGCACGGGCATTAGGAAAATTGGATTATTTCATGAAAAAGGCATGTATTTGTCACTCATACGTTAGGCTAAGTTAGATGTGTAAATTTTCTAAGTTTTTTTTTGTGTACTTACGATGCGTCATACATTTCTTGATCACCCCACTCGACTTGCACATTCGATACGTGTAGTCCCGCGCGTAGAACGCGCGTCCGGTAATTCAATAGTGTCCGGTAATACCATGCGTGGGCATACGTGTTCATCTCGTATGACGGGGGCCCTATTACCATTACCGTCCACAATTATTTCAGGTCCTCAATTTGTCGATCAAAACATGAAATCTACGAGTAGGTTTATGATAAAAAAGAAACTTCTGTATTTTTATTCCCTGGAATGGCACTCCGTATCAACCTACCAGTTTGTTTATATCGCTGTTCAAAATGACCCTAACCTTGTCGTAGTCTTCTTTTTCGTGCTCACAAAATCGGTATCAGAGGTATTTCCGGACGGGTTGAGTACCCGGACACCGCGCATTAGAACGGCGCAATACGCGTCGGGGAAACATCGCGCGCAGTTGCAAACAGACACCCGGTGACGCAGCTGTTATTTTTCTTCGCATAAATCCTGATTTTGCATGGAAATTCTAATGCTTATTATTTGGAAATTACGTTTTTTGGCAACATATTCTGAAAAAACGCGCAAAATTAAGTGTCCGGTTACTCAATTATGTTTTTTGGCAACATATTCTGAAAAAACGCACAAAATTAAGTGTCCGGTTACTCAAGTCCCCACCCTACCTATTACCGTCCAAAATTTCCTTGAGGTGTTGTTAGGTCAGTCCCCTCATACAAAGGACAGACATCATTACCAGCATATTTTCATGCGGTGAATTCACGTCAACCGGGCAGGATATGAACTATTGCTTGTCAGGCGGATTCCTGACTAGGAGCTCTCCATGTTTGTGCTCACCGAGATCTTAACACGATATTAATGAACATTTACATCACATATACAACCATTTTTTACTTACGATGTCAGTGTTTTCAAGCAATTTCTGTCCATAACGGGCATCGCTTGAACACTTCTTCTTCGTAGGGAACTGCTGAAACTGAATGCGCATGCACGATACTGTAATAGACATGTATACTCTTATACTTGGCGTATTTATGCATACATTCTATATTAATAATTTACCAGTGTCTTTCAAAGATTACTTCAAAAGGCGCTCTGATACTTACCATTACTAAACAACACAAATTAATGATCTTTCTCATACACTCAATAAGAAAGCTTTCTCTGATCATGGTATACAAGCAGCCGGCCTAATCCTTTCGAATTCACTCCCTAAACTAATCAAAGAATCAAAAAATACAAAACACTTTCGAAACCTACTTAAACGTTAGCTGATTAGTAATTATGAGTAATTTCTTTAGAGCATGTCCACATTTGTCTTGTCGTAATGGTTTTTGTCAGAGTCTTTTTTACGCGTTCAACTTTTGTTAATTGTTTCTTTTTTCTGTGTATATCATGCATTGTATACATATTTTTGTAAAGGTGTGGGCTACTTTCGGGCCTTACTGGCTCTCCGGCTCATTCCTCCATTTGTCAGTCTTTGTATTTTACTGTTATTTTGAGGTGTTTAGGTCTATATTTTATCATTGTAAATTTTGTTGGAAACAAGGAAAATCAGCCATTTTGACAAAAAAATTGGATGAAAAGTTGCGAGTGCAGTGAGTGAGCGAGAAGCTGAGAACAAATAATTTCCATGTTTTTTAATCGAAAAATTTAATGTCAAAAACACAATAAAAAATGCTGACTTACCGACCCTCCCTGGAAGGTTTGACCGCCATTTTTTTTGTCACCTAATAGGTATAATTTTGTGAAAAATGGATGTGTATTAACAAATATTAGGGCGTGTGAAATCACTTTCACCTTTGGGGCTATTATACATGTAAGACTATGTATTTCACCATAAATTTACCTCTGCACCTCTGACAAATTTGTTGTAGGCCAGAGCATATGAAAAAATATGTTACAAACAACACACTCACTTGGCATGCTTTGATGTCATTGGTTGCAAAATCTTGCATTTTCCTTTAAAAGGTCATTTTACCAATTAAAAATTATTTAAGGTTCTCATAATTTTGTAGACTTTAAAAGAAAAAAATCCAACTACCCATAACACACGTGTAATACCAACATCTCAAAAGTTACTGCTGGCTACTTGAGTGCACATAGCAATCAGTGATTCTTAGTATAAATTGCTCTCATCATGACTACCACTAGTACACTCATAGTCATCTTCCCTATCCTTTCCACTTTCAGCAATATGTCGCTATAGTTTCTCAGAGTATAAGTCATACCCATCATAAATTGGCACATAATGCTCTGTAAACTTGTCTTTCTGCTTTCAGCAATGCCTAGTCATCATCCCATTCCAACAGCTACCCGTCTGTGATCCCTCTGACGTTCAATTCTGCCTGCCACTGCGTGCCCTCCGACCTTCAATTCTGCCTGCGAACTCCACTTGATAGCACTGGATCATCAGGTATGTAATGCCTTCCTATCATGTCTTACCATTACATTATCCTTTTTTCTGACCATCTGGGCAATGTGGGGGAATTTATGTCTCGCATCATGTATGTGCTTTGAAAGTCATCCAAAATTATTGTCATCCTGCGCGTCAGGTGGGCTTTTAAGTCTCATCAAAGCCTATTTTGAGGTAGGGCTGAAATAAACATGTCGAGTGAATTTTAACCATTGTTGATTTTCTTGATAAATGGTTGATAAATTCCTTGCTAAGAATCTATAAATTGGCTCATGCAATCCTGATACTTCTTTAGGACTGAAAAAGCAAGTTTCAATAATATTTGCACTGATGAAAATGAATATTACAAAAAGTGCTTCATTGGATTGACCATTTCTGCAGTGAAATTGACTACTGCCACGAATCAAGGCCAACTAAGCTATCATTTGGGCTAGTTTCTCCTACATGTTTGAGGACCATGGCATCCTGTATCCTGAGGACACGTACAACAACCTGGCCTACCTTGATCTGGCGACATTATGCCCATGTGGCCAACATTGGGAAACTGGACCACAGTTCAAAGCTGGCATATGGCACTATCCAGCCCAAATTGGTGAACACTTTGTTCCGACTGTGCCTCGCCTCTTTGTAGCGATGAAGTCCAGCACAAACGTACAGGTATGTGATAGGAAGTTCCAAGTTTCATACTTGGCCAAGTATGCTGCAGGCGTAGAAGAGAGACGCCCTGTGCAGCTTTCCACAACCACAAGCCCAGGTCAGGTATTGGTACAAGCACACAACCTCATCAATACAAAAATATCAGGCCAGCGCATGCACCCTCTCAATGACAGATCTGCAGCCCTTGCCAGAGAACTGGCGCTTACTGAGATGATATGGTATGCACTTCGCTTCCCATATGTCATCTCCAGCACCACATACGTCCATGCATCCACTAAATCACCCGAGTGTCGCTCTGCCATCTTCAAGCACAGACGCCCTAATCTTCAAGATCACCAACGAGAACAAGATGGTGGTGGTGGACTGCCACAGACAGCTGCTGACCGATTGGCCCTACCACCGTGGCGGCAATTCACACCATCTCAGGTTACTGCCATCTGTAGTCACCACCAAGGCCAGTACTACCTAGACAACACCACCGCGTTTTCAATTAGACCACCAGAGCTCCTTCTCTTTTCCACTTTGGAAACCTACTTACGCTGGTTCACGTGGAGAAGGATCCTAAAGCACATCTCGATCCAATCCTAAACGCTTCTCATCTTATTGACGGTGTTGGTCGTTGTGTTCGCATTCGTGCTGCTCATGTCTCGCATGCTGCATCCTACATCCATGCCCTCACAACCAGCCCTGATCCAAATATCGCTGTCATTGCTATGGATCTACATGCCCACATATTTGGCCCTGTGCAACAACAACAACAACAACAGGAGGTTCCTGCAACTCAACACTACCAGCGATTCGTTGACATAGCAGACGTGAGACGCAATGTAGTTGTCTTCAAGGCACCATTCCCATCAAATCTACCTGAATTCTTTGTCCACATCATCTTGACCATGGGACACTTCAGTACTGAACAAGACATATATGGTCAACCAAACATGACTGCAGCCTTAAGGGCAGCGAAACTGATTAGTGATAATGGGCGTGATGAAACTGATGTCAAGAACATCGCCCGTGCATATGTCACAGACCAACTGCTTTGGTATCCTTTTGGTTCACAAACATTCAGCAAGCACCTCAGTGATGCCCTTCATACGTTGCGCACTATACTGCTTGACCCGCAAGTAAACATTGCGCTCCCGTCAACTACAGAAGAAGACATTGCAGATTCTGTTAGACATGACCTTATCCGGCATGAACGTTTCCTACGAGATACTGCTATAGATGCCTTGGGAGGAGAACCTATTCCCAATTTCCCAGACATTGAACACTTCATAGAAGGAGCAGTTGAGTTCCTACCTCAAATTACACCAATCAGAAATCAAAGTGCAGCATCATTAGAAGAACAGAACAGGGCACTCAATACATGCATTACAGCAATAAACACATTACACAATAACCAACCCAGTAGCCGTAATTGCTTCGAACTTGTTGGTCCCCCTGGAGCAGGGAAAACACTCCTTGCTCCTTGCAAATACGTATGCCCTCTCCAAGAATATGCCATCACTCTTGGCAGCCATAACCTCCGAACGAGCAAGACGCCTTGGAGGCACCCATATCCATATGCTCTTTCACATTCCGGTCTTAAATGCCAATGTCCAAACAGTGCAAAACATCGTGTCCAAAGCTCTCTTGAGTCTTTCAAAGAAACCTGTACAACTGGCTATGCTGCAGCGACTAAAAGTGCTATTCATAGAAGAAATAGGCCTACTTTCAGCTCAGCTCTTTGCTGCTCTTGACAACATCCTCAGATATGTTACAGGCTCCAACAAGCCAATGGCAGGCATTTTGGTCATAGCCACTGGAGATCCATACCAGTTGGCTCCAGTTGATGGCACACCCTTTTGGGCCAGTCACCATCTTATGACCTCTTTCCACATTATCACAATGAGCCACTATGTCAGAGCATGCCAAGATGCAGACCTACAGCAACTTATACAGATACTGCGCAATGTCAACATCACGAAGGAGGACATTGAGAAGTTCATCCACATCATTGGAAATCGATGCCTGCCTCATGCTGTACCATCATGGGATGATGTACCACATCATGCCTTGAAAATCGTGGGTACTAAGGCTGCCTGCGAAGAAATAATTGGCAGATACATTGCACAAAAACAATCTGACCCAACTGTACAATGCAAAACATTCCTTGCTACTGATGAGGTTGAGACTACTCAAGGGGTATGGGGCCATGCCAATGCCAATGTTCAATTCCAGCTTGACAAAGCCTGTCTTGAGCCTAAGAAGTTGGTACTATTTAAGGGACAGGTACTTCGACTGGCATACAACAATACTGTTGCAACAAATGAACTACCTCGCTTCTCTCAAGGTCAACTCTGTATTGTTATGGACTTGCCAAATGAAACTGAACAGCTGCGTTTGATGCTTGTCCCACCGGGAGTACGGCAAATCCCAGAACATGTGCAAAATAACCATCCCTGGCCGTTATTCTCCCTTTCACCAACTCAGGCACCCTTAGTCATTGTTGGGAAGGGTCATACTAAAGCACGCCGCATCCAATTCCGTGTAACCTACTATGTTTGTAGCACGGTGCACAAGGCACTCGGGGAGACATGTCCACAAATTGCTACTCAGATTTCAAGTCAACAACGCAAGTACCGACTTTGGGAAAGAGACCAGTTATTGGTCCTCATCAGTCGAGTCAAAAACTTGGACAGCATAATATTTGTGACGCATGATCGCAATGACACCATCATGGGCATAAGGAAACTGCTTTAGAATACTCCACAATGGTTACACCACATCAAAAACATTCTCTCTGCACTGGACAATACAACCCCATCAGCCACAATTCAACATACCCATGACCCCTATCCCCCTACAATTCGAATGCAACAGTTACCTGACAGCAGCATTGGCTTTGTTTACATGTTGGTGAGCAACACCCATCGCAACTTTGCATATGTTGGTGAAACAGCATGTATCCAACGCAGACTCCAACAACACAACACTGGTCATGGTTCGAACTTTACGAACAACCCCCAACTTCGCCCTTGGATGTGCTTTGTGCTAGTGTACCGATTTCCAGAGAATGGTGACCATCAGGCAAACATCACTGCCAGGAAGAGCTTTGAATATCAATGGCACACACTCAACGCTCAAGATCCCCTTCCAAACACTCGCACCATCTACACGAATGGCTTAATTGTCTTCAACCGCATGCGTCAACGCTACCCAAATCTAATTTGGGAGGACTTCGGACAATTTCACCCATGAAGAACTCCAGCCAATGTGAGTACAGACACTATCCCAACATTCACTTCCAACATCAAAATCAGTAGGTGAGAGGATGTATTCCCCGTATGGGTAATGCATCCTCTCACCACCAGAATCCTTCATCAACAACAGTCATCCTCCAAGCACAGGAACATTACACAAAATTATGTGCAACATCAAAACAGTTCAAGACATGTACCAGTAGGCCTACATTAAAATCCCTTCAGCATGCCTTCAACAAACACTGCATGTAGCCAAAGTAATTGTACCTGTTGATTTTGCTAACACCTTAATCTTTTAATTATTGTCCAACACTAGCATTAACCTGTAACTCATACCCCCAAATCTTCATATCAGAAAGATGTAATATATAGATTTCATTCTTATTCCAGATATCACCATGCTAGCACAATACCTTGAAGCAGGGGACCTTGATGCAGCCATGGCAATATTTAATCATCCCACGGTGACTAACGTGACATTATCAGAAGTCTTGACCACCACATCAGAGAACACAAGGTTGACAGCCCAAGTGCTCTCAGTGAAGAAACCCAAGCCCAAGAAGCTCCAAAAAGATGGCAACAAATTTTCCAAAGTAGAAAAAAAGTATGACCGGCTTGTTCTCCTCAGGTAAAAACATAACATTCGAGGGGGGGGGGGGGCAGTGTCATTACACCGTGTACACCATGCACGTGTGAAAAAAAACGCGTAAAAACGGTTGTTTTTCATAGTAGGACGATGTACGCGCGTACATTGAAAAGGGTATCAAAATCGCCAAAATCACGAAATAAGGGTATACTTTTAACAGAATGTTTACTTCAAAAGGGTATCTTTTCAAACTTTAATACTTGTTTAGGGTATCCTGAGATTGACTTTCAATTACGTGTTTAGGGTCCATTTTGAAAGTCCATACACGCGCATGGTGTACACCTTGTAATGACACTGCCCCCCCCCCCCCCCCGACATAACATTCCAACTACCAACCAATTGTAATCATATCTTTTATGTCAGTCAGCAGGCTTCCCCTCAAAACAGTACTTATCAACCAGAATTGTGAGGCCTATTGCAACAGGACACCTCTACTATGCTTGTCCATCTCAAATACCACCAACATTGTAACATTACGTAGTCACAGTTACAAACACTATAAGTTTCACACACTACCTAAATATCTCTGTATCAATCTTTCAGAGAACTCACCGAAGGTGACCTCTTCTATCTCCTCACCGAAACACCCATGGATACAAGACAACTCTTCAAAATCCAGAACTACACTTGGATTGGAGCAACCGTTGGGTTATTTGAGGCTGAATACAACACCATGCTGAACCACGTTCCCATCATAAAGCTCGACCAGCCACTTCTGCCCATAATACCTACAGTTATCTACCACATCACAAGACCATTTGTCGCAGAGTACTCAGATAATCTCATCCCAAGACCTCTTTACATCAACCAAGCCACACTTACTGTCACCAAAGCTAATGTTATCATCGGTTGTGGAGCAGACTTTTGTGACAGCCAACATAACGTCAACACTCAATGCCCAGCTACCGTCACCCAGGACATAGCGAAGCGAGTGATACAATGCCGCATTACATCCACAGAGGCTAATATAAGCAACTCTCCATTCACCTCTGCATCCTTTTCAAGACTCTTCCTCTCAGCACATGCAATGAACATGCACTGGTATATCTGAAAGAAATGTGCTCCCTGATTATTACCGCAGTGCGCTTAACTGCGCATAAATACGGTACAACTCAGTTTATGATAACTTCCGTCCCATGTACATGTGTATGTGTAATATTTAATAAAGCATTATTTCATCACACAGATTTCTCAGCCATCCTTATGTACATCTACATGGACTATTGCTGCACTCTGTTCCCATACTGCTGTGGCCTTGTCCAATCTTCAATATCACCCTGCCTCTGGTTTTTCACTTGCTCCCATAATCGCTTCACTGGTAAAGAGATACAATGCACTCTCGTTATAAAGAAGTCCTTGGGACCCATGAAATTGTTTCTTTATAACGAAATTTCTTTATATCAGGGCTGCCAAAACAATAGAATACAAAGGAAATCCAAGATATGGGACCAGAGATTTTACTTCTTTAAAATGAAATTTTGTTATATCAGTGTTCTTTATAACGAGAGTGCACTGTAAGTGAATGAGGGAACAACTTCTTGAGGGGAGTGTACCTGTAAGGGCATTCCAATACTGCCACGACACTTCCCCCTATACTCCTCTCGAGAGGTTGTTCCCTTGTTCCAATACTTGCTTCACTTGAGAGTGATGACATACATCATATGTGAATGAGTGAATCGCCATTGTGAAGGGAGTGTACTTCCTCCTGGCCCATACATGTACTCCTCCACCAATGCTTCACGTTTGGACCATCATTGATAAAAAAAAATAGTAATTATCTTAAATACTGTATATACTTTGGAGGTCAACAGACTTTTCCTAAATATAAACGTTACACTTATGTCAGACCACTCAACACACGGTCCATGGTGTCATTGTCTTTTATTGGTCACTGCCACGGGCGTGGAGGGATATCTTATCCACATTCTTAACATCCTGCATATCCTTCACCTCTAAAACACCATGTACAGTGCACTCTCATTATAAAGAAGTCCTCGGGACCCATGAAATTTCTTTATAATCAAATTTCTTTATACATGTATCAGGGTTGCAAAAACAATAGAATACAAAGGGAATCCCACATGTGGGACCAGAGATTTTACTTCTTTATAATGAAATTTTGTTATATCGGTGTTCTTTATAACGAGAGTGCACTGTAAACATTTCTCCACCACATTATCGCACATCAAATAAGCACAATTCCAACACGTAAAAAAAACCCCGAAGCGCCCGACGAAGTTATTTAGAATTTTCATTATTGTTGGGATATCCATGCATAATAGGATTTGCACATGTCTATACCCATCATGCTTCCACCCCCCCCCCCCCCCGGATGCACCACAACATGTATAAATCTACAGGTAGCCCCTTTCATCTGGCCAGACGCAACACATGGCATCTATCTCTAGTTCCGAAAACTCTGGATGGAGCGGCTGAAGTAGAAGGAGACTGACAAAAAGAGACAGCTGCGTTTATTTCATTTCCCCCTCATAACCTTGAAATACAGTGTATTTATCTACAAGTAAGATAGTACATGAAAGCTGTTATTAGGTATACTAGACATGAATTTCAATGATATATAAAACAAGAAGTGCTTATCAGATTCAATGCATTGGTTATACAGGTAGGATGATTCTATTCACAAAGGGGATTTCACCGTTATTGGAGGAAGCACATTACTAGCCAAACCTTTCTGGAGGCAGTGAACCACAGTAAAAAAAAAAATGCAATAAAAATATTGTTGGATACATCAACCTTACCTTATAATATAAATTTCATGTTCTACACAATATTTTAGATAAAGGATACCTTCAAAATGGCAGCCACATTGCTGGCCAGCCTTGCCTTATTGGCATCCCACACATCCAGGTTGTAATAATTCGTTTGAGCAGTAGATAGCCGATGGTTCATTGCTTCGGCTGTCTCTGCCCTTCTCCCTGGGTGTGTCACTGCCATCTAAAAGCAAATTGGGGATAAACCAATACAGGTTTTATGTATTGTATATCTTTTCAGAGTCAAACAATGAATATTTCAAGATTGAAAGGTTGATCAACTATTTAATAGCACATTTATTTGTTTTATCAAACTGTCTAGTTCATGCAATACAAAGTATTATTGGGTGTTAAGAGAGACATTGCAAATAAATAAATCAATACAGTTGATAATATTTAATCATGAGTATTTACCATGCTGGACATCCACTTCCGAATCCCATTATTTGTGACTGCCCTCTGATCAAGGTATTTACATGTCTGTTTGATGGAGTATGTTATGGAGGACGAGGAGACTTGGGGGGGATTTCGTCGTGAAAAAGACATGTTTCGTACCCTGTTCATAGCCGAGGCATCTGGGCCTGATGTGCCTAATATATATGGAAAACCTTTCATACTGCTCCTTATTGAGACACACCCTCGCTGCCCCGTACTTCATAACGGTCTTGTGGTTTAGGACCTGCAGAGTAAGAGACATGGATACGTTAACCTGAAATGACAACTGAAATATTAGATAACAATAAATGATATATATTTCTATTCCAATTGTGCCAGGAATGACAAAGTAATGATTATTTTTAAATATACAATCTAACGCAACAGTGCCCGTTTTATTCTGCCTTCTCATTTGTGATTTCTGCATTCACGAAGAGCAACTTGTTTTCAAGCTTTAATTCCCTTTGAAGGGATTAAATGTCAAATTCTACAGAAAAACAAATACCTGAACTTAATATGACATACCTTAATGACGTGCTGATTTGTTTGCTCTTCATATATGGCTTTCAGAGCCCATTCTACCTCCATGTTGATAAACTCAGACGGTCTAGCGCCGTTGTCAAGCGCCATCCTAAGTAAAAAAAAAAATAACCTCGGATGGCCTGGGCCAACGACGCTGTAATGCGCGCTTGGGATAAAAATAAAGGATGGAATTTGTTGAGGTACAACCCCTCTAAGGCAGCACTTAGAGATTGGGCCTCTTTGTTGGTGAGTTGGTCGTCTGTGAAGTAATGAGATGAAAAACAAAGGGTATGAAATTATATTTTCGTTATGCAACTTGGAAGTAAAATTATACTAATAGTATAATCGACTATGTTCTTAAAGGGTATATATTATACTCAATAATTGTAATTATTGCGATTTTTTTCTTTTTCTTTGGGGGGGGGGATGCCTCTTCTATATTATTGGTAAATTTAAGGGTGGGGAATTTAATTTAGCCCCTGTTTACGTTCTACCATTACTGTTACAGCATATAAACTCCAAAATGGGCCAGTTCGATATATGAATTCTTACGGTATCCACGCTCTGTCAGTTCAACCTGCCTCACTTTCCCTTCCTTCGCTAGTGAGGCAGCAATCTTCCTCCAGTCTTTGGCTTTCTGCTGGAGGGTTGGGATGCCAAGGAAGTCGGAGAAGGCGTGCTTTAACTTTCCCGTGGCCAAAAAATCAAAAAATCCAGCTACACTGTGGCAATAACTTGCCACAGTCTCCTCAGCCTTCTTCTGCTTCTTCTGTTCAGCCACCCACATGCTTGAGGCCTCCTCAACGTTGAGAAGGCCATCCAAGGACCCATTGCAAAGGGAAGAGGCTATTACCCTCTGCACCTGGACCACATGCTGGCTTGCATTTCCCTCAGACTTGAACTTTCCCAGCCTCGACATGAGGTGGACTTTGTAATGGTGAAGCATTGTTCCTGTGATTTGGGAATGAATAATAAAAATATGTATTATCTTCATAACAACATCAGACAAATTCTACTCCAAGTATTTATGACTTCTAACGATGTTGCAGTCCATAGCATAGCAAATATAATAAAAGGAATGCTCATACTTACGAGCCTTTTCATTTGCCCTATAGGTATCTGGCGTGTAGTCTCTATCGCTCTCTTCTTCCTCCTCGATCTCCTCGTCTTCCTCCTCCTCCATCTCCTCGTCTTCCTCCTCCTCCATATCATCATCTTCCTCCTCCATCTCTTCCTCGCCCATCCAAGGTTGTTCCGAAACCTCTACTGAACTCTCCATCTCGTCCTCTTGTTCTTTAGCCTTCTCTTCTCCCCTCTCCATCTCCACCACGACCTCCACATCCTGGTCTTCTACCTCATCTTCTAATGATACAACAAGGTCCAAACGAGCATGGTTTATGTTATGTTATTAATACATACAATATGGCTAACAAAGCATTAGCTGAACCTTCTATTTTTGGTCAACTGCTCTAAAGAGAGATCATGGCCAAAACAATCCTCCCCCAAAACCTGCAATTTGAAATATCATGATGTTAGTTTGTGTATTGTAAGTCACAACCCACAACCCCACTTTTCCATGGGAAGGAGAGGTGAGGTTCATTACAAAAAATAATCTTAAATCACATATAATTCTGGGATTTTTTTTCATTGAATTTTCTAGCAAAGGTACTGACTGGATGTATGGATGTAAGACAACATTGAATTTGGAAATTGCACAAACAGAATTTTTGAGAGAAGATATGCAATGACATTTTCTTTTACAAGAAATGCCCGACTCACATAGTCCTCTAAAGATAATGCTATTGATTTGGTCTAAATTGTCACGACTGCCCACAATTGATTTGACCAACATCAGGTATAAATGTAAAGTTTAGATTGTTACTCACCAAACATTCCATTTGGAATTTCAATTCCATACTTTTTATCTCTGATCATTCTGGATGTTACTTTAGATAGGAACAAAAAAGAAAACTTGAATTTAGGATCACACCCTTACCACTCAGTATCAATAACTCTTTGAACTGCAGTATCAGTCGAAACCGTTAAATAAAAGTGTCTTGAACATTGATTTCAGAAGAACAGATCTAGGAGGTTAGAGTTAGATATATTCATCAAGACTGTTCTAGAATTTCAAAATAAAAATTGCTGATTCGGGCTTCATCTGTTGAACATACATGTTTAATTAAAGTTAATGTCCTAAAGAAAAGGTTTAACTTACTATTCTTGCTTTTGCCATGAACTCCAACAATGTGCCTGTGCAGGTTAACAACCTTGGCATTGCAATGGGGAAAAAACACCTAACCTTGTCTACATCGTCACCATCGTTTCTGCCTCTACCCTGACCGTCTTGATGAAATAATGCAGTGGAAAGTGCGTTAGCCTTTTCATTGTCCATGCGATGGATATTCTTCAGATGCCTCGGCAACTGCTGGGTTCTTATCCCACAACCTTCTTC